TTTTTTTTTTTTTTTTTTTTTGGTAAACAGCCTAAACATCAGGCGTAGTTTACATCTTAGACACTCGTCAATGCGGACAAATGTAGCTGCTGAAAACAGATTCCTTTAATTCTCATTCATTGAAAAGCTTTCTAGGCTATGTTTATGTTTTTTCAAGACACCATTCAGGGATAGACATCAACTAGGAATCGTGGTGGAAAAAATAAAGGACGTTCCTCCTGGGACAAAGTTTCCTCGAACAGGAATTGAATGGCACCATTCAGGGACAGACATTAACTCATTTGAATTGAACGACAAAAGAAGAAAGAGACTACGAACAAACACAAATGAACAATTCAGTAGTCAGGGATTATCACCTCCACCAGTCAGGGCCAAGCTCCTGAAACGATAACAGATATAAGCCAATCAAAATGGGGTAAATTTGGGTTCAAAAGTAGCTGATCAACAATAGAAATCAGGTAGATACAAACAACATGCATGCTATCAAAATCAACATGGAATAGGATGCAGGAGCATATAACCAAATTTGATAGCTAAAAGGCCTGGTTTACAATTAGGCACAATCAAAATGGATTTCAAATATGGTTTGAGTGGGAGATTGACTGCAAATATAATTACCTCATGCACTCAATCATAAGAAATGTTATCGTAATGCTGAAATTAGCACTTCCAGTTGTTGATCAGACATTGTCCACAGGTTCCGAACTGCCTGTTCCGGTTCAGATTTTTTTATTCAAGGAACTCCAGTTACATAGAACTGAAAGTGACCATCGGTGGTTTATCCGGTTTTGAGTTCCGGTTTGTAACCAGAAGGACTACCAGTTCAAGATAATTACTGCCTTCTAAATTTTTGCATTTTTCCTATTGTTCGGTGAGATGAACCGGTGGTTCAGAACCTTGAATTGTGGGTTAAAATTTGAATCTTAGTTCAGGCGGGAAACTGATGGTTCACGATTTTGAAATGAAAACGGATGAACCACCGCTTCAAAATGAAAAAAAAAAAAAAGACAAGTTAATGGGTGAACCAGAACAGGACCGTGCTTTGACTGGCCCAGTTTTAGTCGGAACCATGGTCAGCGGTTCAAGTTCCCCAGTCAAGGATCCCGAACCGGGTGATCCCCCAATTCCTGTTCAGCGCCCGGTGGACATGTATATTAGAAGTGGTGAATAAGAAACAACAACTCTTGGGCTTTTTTTTGGCCACTAGACTTGAATCTACTTGGTTATGAAATGTGAAAGAATGAAAAACATTTTCAAACAAATTAAGCTTTGCACCTACTTAGCATAATAAATTATCCTACCAAATCAGCTTTAAGTGAATGACTGTTAGTTATGATATCTGGGAACACTGGATATATAAAGAAAATAAAGCACACAGAGACCAGACAAACGACACACACAATATACTGGATGTATACTTGAGCTCCCTTGTCATGTTCTTGACAGTCAAATGAGGTATGAAGACATTTAATCATTAATCTATTGACCCATAGTACCTTTACATAGCACAAATGCCATCAATATTTGTTTGCTAAAATTCTTTCATTTGACTACATAACCATTTGAAATCCACAAATATATGTCCAACAAAACATTGTAATATGAAGAGAGTCACTGATGATCAGCAAGTGAGAAGAACAGCATTGCTACATGTGTTCAAGATAATCAATTGGCAGTGGTATTTCAACACGAATTTGATAATCACAACGTTCCTTTACAAGAAACCAAAGCTTATCTCCCACCTCAAACAGTGACAGCCATCATATGAAAAGACAAATGAATCGAATTCAAGGACATTTATCTCCACAAATTTCTACACCATCTACACATTTCAAACTCCCAGAAGAAAGCAAAGTCGACAACAATGTGGTTCATACAGTCGACAAAATCAAATAACAAAGTGATAAATGCAAAAACCAAAATACTAAGAACCAACTAATGAAGAACATGCACATTAGTCCTCAATCACAAAATACTCGGGAAAAGAAAATCATGCGATGTGCAGCATTCTCAAAAATAAATATATAAAATTAAGATAAAAGCCACTTACTTCTTGTGGCGCCGGCCTCGCTTGGGCCACCATCCCTCGAGCTTGGAAACAGGGCACCCACACCTGTCCCTGAAGAGCAGCACCGCACGCCCATTAGGCGGGGCCATCTTCCTAAGCTCGGCACGCAGACACTCGTAGTCCGGGTTGTCCTTGGCGCCTCCCTTCCACGGCAGGTCGTCGACATCTCTCACGGCCTTGTTTCCGTCGGCGGCCCGCAGCAGGTCCTCCCCCTGCAGCTGCAGATCGAACTCCATCGCGCTCCTCAACCCCCGGCAGCCCTTCCTACCGCACCTACGGGATCTGTGCCCCCAGCAGATCTCGAAGGAGATGGCGAAGGCCACGAAGGAGACGGCGAAGAAGGCAAAGAATATCAGCTGGAACCGGGGGCTGGAGGCGAGGTTGCGGTGGAGGTGGGCGGCGACGGCGGAGAGAGAGGGGAGGAGAAGGGAGAGGGACTGGAAGACGTAGGAGAAGTAGGAGATTATGAGGAATGCGCCGGAGAAGAGGACGAGGACGAAGATGAGGAGGTCGAGGGTGGCGGAGGGGGAATGCCGGCAAAGGGAGGGGCAGTTTGCGGAATTCGAGTGGTGGTGGGCGGCGATGGCGGCGGAGGGGGCAGGGGTTTTGGGAGCGGGGGGTTTTCTGACGGAGGAGGAAGGGGCCATGGGGATTATGGAGAAGAGGGGGTGAATGCGCATGTTAGTGATAAAGCCGGGTGGAGGGAGGAAGGTTATTTTGGTGATGATTTGGGGGAGAAAATGGAAGTGGCGCAGGTTAGCGGGGTGCAGGGAGCGGCGGGGGAAGTGCGCAGATTAGAATTTTGTTCACTGCTATATGTGAGAAATTGGGTAAAAGTATTCGAAAGGGTTCTCTCCTCTTACCCACCACGTGTTATAAATGAATCAAATATTTTGGATTTGAATCATCAATTTTGGTATTCGTAATTTTTTCTTTTTTTTTTCATACGGCAAACAAATAATTAAGATTAAATTCACAATCAAAGTACATTGGTAATCCAGTGATCATAACCAACAAGAGCTAAAAGGTCTACTCTCGAGGCACGAAAAAGATATCAATTCAACCCTAAAAGGCATATAAGCCCTAAATATCATTCCTTCCATCTCACCAAGATTTCTTTCAAGACTCATCTCCTAGTATTCTTGGTTACAACCATCCATGTCCACAATGCATACCACATAATGCGACCCCTCAACAGACAATGAAGCACTGATAGTCAAAAAAGACTTACCTACTTCTTTGTAAAAATTATCTTGTTGAGCAGGAGTTCCCAGCATCCCTCTAAGAGCTTTTCCATTAAAGTGTATCAGGTCTGGTTTGTCACTCTGACCACTCTGATTTGGCCTCTTACACAATTGATTTCTCATGAATCCAGTCTCCCTTGTAAAGCCACTTGTTTCTTCCACGTATTCCATATCAGCACAGCAGACAAACATAATCAGTCCATATTTAACCTGAAATTCACTGCCACACAAAGCTTAAACCACCAATTCTGAAAGCACAACATATTATTAGTTTCAGTTCCCCAATTAATCCCGCACAACTTCCAACAATTTCTTGCTATAGAACATTTGAACATATGTGATTCATGTCTTCCTCACTCTCTCTACAACTTGAACAGATTAAATCAAGTATCATTCCTCTCTTGGACAGTTGTGTTTTGCAACTAATAAATTCATGTCAGCGTCTCTGTTGTAGCACAAATTATTCTTTTTACCGAGTATCGAATCGAAAGATTCGTTCCCCGGGTCTATCTCACGAGGAAGGCAGTTCGAGATTTAGCTTTGATATTGACAACACATAAAAAGAAAATAAAAACTAAACATTCTAATCAGACAGCGGGTTTGAGAGATTATCAGCTAAGAAATAATAAAAAGCATAATCTACCTAAAAATGAGAACAGAACAAAGATAAGAAGCTAGGGAATCGGGGATAATTAGTTCAAGTTCTAGCAAAACCGGGCAATCAATTGTTCGGTTCAAGATTGACACTCTCGCTTAAACATCTAGCGGTTCGCTCCCAATAACTTTTCGTAACAAGGGATTGAACATAGACGAACAAGTTCGATCATACAATACATGCCAATTATCCCAGTCCCAATAACTTTTCGTAACACGGGACGGGTCATCGACAAGCACGTATTTCAATCCAAAACCTATAGACTATTCAATTACGAAATCATCTACCTCATGTGAGCCTATTTCTACGACGTCTCCCCTTTCGGTTCTGAAAGCCGCTAAGTCAATTAGAAGGTGTTTAATCAACTAATCATATAGAATTGACAAACCCTAACTCGACAAATTAACATCCAACTGTCACAATAGCAAGATCGAAATGTCACTTTTTGATTATATCAATCTATCGAAAAAGAACTCATCAATTCCTAATCAATTCAACTCACAAAAGCATGAACAAATCGAAGCCCGACAGTTACACGTTTAAACAAGAACAATCATCCCCTATCCCTAGCAATGGAATTTAGCTACGGATATCAAATTCAACAATCATGATCAATCTTCTCAAATAATCATTATTCATAAATCAAATAAGAGAAGTGAATACTTACAATCAATCCAAGTTCCAGTCGAATTCGAAATACAAGCTAAACCCTAACTAAGAAGAAGAAGAAGAAAAATGGAAAATAATGGTGAAAAGAAGAAAAAAATTGAGGAAGAAGAAGAAGAGAGAAGAAGAGAAGGACAGAGTCGTGTTCTCAGACCTAGGTTTACACCTGGTCGAGATGTCTCTCGAATCTCGGACAAGTTCTCCTTTATAAGGTTCGAAAAACCGAGCAAAAACGAGAGAGACCAAAAAAAACAATTATGTGCCCGCGACCAGGCCTTAGCGGCGGTAAGGCCATAGCGGCGCTAAGGGTCGCGGAGCTTGGGCGTCTGGCCGTTGCTATGGGCGCGTTTCGCTGGTAGCGCCGCTAGCTGGGTTGGCCATAGCGGCGCTATGGCCCGACAGCCTTCCACGATTTCACAGTTTGGGCTCGTTCGGGCTCATTTGGACTCGGAATTCGATTCCGCTTTTTCCTGTGTGTTGCCAACGAACTCCTCTATTTAATTATGCTTGCAAAATAAGCTTTTGCCCATAATTAGGTCCTCCCGAAGCTTCAGACCTACACACCATAAACAAAGAAAAAAACCGAAAAAACACACGAAAACACAGAAAAAACCGAAATAGATCAAATCAAGCAATAAACTACAAAAACGAATAAAACCCAACAAAAAGACTCAATATGGGGAGAAATAAAGACAAAGAGACAACAAAGAACGCAACAAAAATGGGACAAACAACTCCCCCACACTTAATCCTTTGTTCGTCCCGAACAAAAAGAAAACAAAACAAGACACGAGCATGGATATGGTTTCAAATAAGAAGAGGTTCAAAATACCCAATTCAATCGAGTCGAATTCCAACAAACATACGACCATATGCCTCAATATTGACTTGGCCTTGAAATGACAAACTCTCAAAACATAGAGTATCATGTATGCCTCACTCATTTTCTTACATTAATATAGATAGGTACGCTCAAAATTGGTTAATATTCAAGTTTCAACATATGCTTGTCAATCGTTTAAATTATTCGAAGACAATCAAAGCTCAAAATATGCGAATCAAGAGGACTTCACGGGTTGTAATGCGGGTTTAACGAAGGATATATATGCCAGAAAAGAAGCTCAAATAAACAACAAAATTCTCGAGCAAATAAATTACTCGAGTTCTCCGCTACCAAACTGGAATAAACAATATAGCACATCACCATCCACCAAACAACTCCACAAACAACACCTCACTGCTCTAATCGAATTGCAACATCACTTGACCCACTTTTTTCTTCTCTCTTTTTTTTTTAATATATATA